TCGCTATGTTGCCCAGACTAGTGTCAAACTCTTGGCCTCAAGTTATCTTCCTACCTTGGCCTCCCAAAGTGCTGGGATTAGAAGCCTGAGCCAAACTGCCTGGCCTGTATCTTAGTCTTAATAATTGTGAACACTTACTGAGTTATTACTCATATTGGGGATCATAACTAGCATTTTACATGTTTTGGGTTAATCCTTAAAACAACTCTGTGAGGCAGGTACTATTATCCCCATGTTACAGATGAGGAATCTGAGATATAGTTTAAATAGTAAGCAGTAGGTAGCATTTTACCTCTTGTTGAGATGATACTTTTTTATTTTTTTATTTTTTGAGACAGAGTCTCACTGTCTCCCAGGCTGGAGTGCAGTGGTGCAATCTCAGCTCACTGCAACCTCTGCCTTCTGGGTTCAAGCGATTCTCCTGTCTCAGCCTCCAGAGTAGCTGGGATCCACACCCGGCTAATTTTTCTGTATTTTTAGTAGAGACGGGTTTCACCATGTTGGCCAAGCTGGTCTCGAACTCCTGATCTCAAGTGATCCAACCACTTCGGCCTCCCAAAGTCCTGGTATTACAGGCGTGAGCCACCGCGCCCGGCGGTGATATGAGATTCTTTTTGTGTGTGTGACAGGGTCTTACTCTGTCATCCACGCTGGAATGCTGTGGCACTATCGTGGTTCACTGCAGGCTTGACCTCCTGGGCTCAGGTGATCCTCCCACCCCAGCCTCATGGGTAGCTGGGACTATAGATGCGTGTCATCATGGCTGGCTAAGTTTTGTATTTTTAGTAAAGATGGGGTTTTGTCATGTTACCCAGGCTGGTCTTGAACTCCTGGGCTCAAGCAATCCACTTGCCTCAGCCTCCCAAAGTTCTGGGGATTACAGGCATGAGCTCATGTGCGCCTAGCAAGCTGAGATTCTTTTTTTTTTTTTTTTTTCGAGATGGAGTCTCGCTCTGTCACCAAGCTGGAGTGCAGTGGTGCAATGTCAGCTCACTGCAACCTCCGCCTCCCGGGTCCAGGCAATTCTTCTTCCTCAGTCTCCTGAGATTCTTGACTTTTTGTGCATTTATTCTTTCTTCCCTTAACCAAATTATAAATCTTTGATTATATGGACCTTTTGTTTTGTTTTGTTTTGCCCTTAAATGTTTACTTAGTACAGTGCACATAATTTAGACCCTGATAATGGTGTATTGATTGTAAAATGTATAATCTAAATCAAGTCTATTTTTTTCATTTGCTTGGAAATTTTATTGAATTGTTAGCTATTATTTCTGTTTTTTGTTTTGTCTTTGAGACAAAGGCTCTGTCACTCAGGCCTGGAGTGCAGTGGCACAATTATGGATCACTGCAGCCTTGACCTGCCAGGCTCAAGCGATCCTCCAAGCTCAGTCCCCTGAGTAATGGGGGCTACAGGAGTGTTCCACTATGCCTGACTAATTCTTTTTAAAATTTTTTGTAGACACAGGGTCTCACTAATATAGTGGCTCACTAATATACAGACCAGCCCAGGCTGGTCTCAAACTCTTGGGCTCAAGTGATCCTCTCGCCTTGGCCTCTCAAACTGCTGAGATTTCAGGCATGAGCCCCTGCTCCTGGCTAAATTACATATATTTTAATCCTCTTCATTTTTTACTTTTGCTATTGGCAGGCCAGTCTTTTTTGGTTTCTCTTGAACTTTTGTCTTTATAAAAGTGATACACGCTTGTTATAGAATACTTATACAGAAAAGTATAAATAAGGAGAAGTAAATCTAGGCTGGGTGTGGTGGTTCACACCTGTAATCCCAGCACTTTGGGAGGCTGAGGCAGGAGGTATCGCTTGAGCCCAGGGATTCGATATCAGCCTGAGCAACATAGTGAGTCCCTGTCTTTAAAAAATAACTAGCTGGGGCTGGGCACGGTGGCTCACGCCTGTAATCCCAGCACTTTGGGAGGCCAAGGTGGATGGACCACGAGGTCAGGAGTTAGAGACCAGCCTGACCAACATGGTGAAACCCTGTCTCTACTAAAAATACAAAAATTAGCCAGGCATGGTGGTATGTGCCTGTCATCCCAGCTTCTCAGGAGGTTGAGGCAGGAGAATCGCTTGAATCCAGAAGGCAGAGGTTGCAGTGAGCCGAGATCGTGCCACTGCACTCCAGCCTGGGTGGCAGAGCAAGACTGTCTCACAAAAAAAAAAAAAAAAAAAGAACTAGCTGAGTGTGGTGGCATGTGCCCATGGTCCCAACTGCTTCAAAGGTGAAGGTTGCAGTGAGCCAAAATCAAACCACTGCACTCTAGCCTGGGCAACAGGGTGAGACCGTGTCTCAAAATAAATAAAATAAATAAACAGATTAGCTGGGTGTGGTGGTCCCAACTACTTGGAAAGCTGCGGTGGGAGTATCACCTGAGTCCAGGAGGTTGTGGCTGCAATGAGCCATGATCACACCACTGCACTCCACCCTGGACAACAGAGAGAGACCCTGTCTCAAACACAAAAACAAAAAAATCTAAAACTCCACCAGCCATAGGTAGTCATGGGATTTTATGATGCATTTTTTACATACTAGAAATTATAGCACATAATTTTGTGACTTGAATTTTCATCAAACATTATAAGCATTTCTTTATATGATTGGCAACATATATTACTTGATAAGTATGTATTAATAATATGGAGTATTATGATTAGATGGGTTATCCTTCTTGGGACATTTAGATTGTTTTCACTTTTTTTTTCTTGTAAGTATCCTTGAAATGAACATTCTTGTACATACCCAATCAAGGTATTGCCTGATTTCTTCGCTAACCATGTTTCACCTCCATGCCCATATTCCTCCATGCCCAAGACTAAGGATATATAGTCAGATGTTAGAATATATAGTCAAATGTTCTATTTTTAAGTTATTCAAATTAGTCTGTTGTCCATCCTTCCTTCCCTATAAGTATTATAGATTACAGTATTTCTGATACATTTTTCAATTCCGCTTTATATCATGTTCCCTCCCGTCTTAGAACCTTTATGCATTTTATTCCTCTGCTTGGAATACTTTCTTTCCCTACCCCGTTTTCGTCCTTGCCTAGTTAACAACTTCTCTTCCTTTAAAAGTTCCTGTTTCAGAGAAGCTCTGGATTAGAACCCCTGCTATATTCTGTCTTAGTTGTGCCATTTGATCTGTCTCACCAACTAAACTGAAAACTCCACAAGGGTAGGGACCTCAAGTGTACTGGTTCCCAGTATGTGTGTCTGCATAATGAATTCTCAATACATACTTACTGAGTGTTGTCTTCTGGCTCTAATATTCTGCCTCAGGGAAGTGGCAGGGTTTTTGTTTGCTTGTTATCTATGGCTAGGAGTGGCAGCCTATGAGAAAGTGTCATGGTATTGAATCAGGCATGATCAGAAGCAAGTGTAATACAGCTCAGCATCATTGGTCAAACACATGTGTTAAATGATTGTTGTATTTCTCAGTTGACATCCTGTGAGAAGATATGAATTCACATAGAATCTGGCTCAAAAATTCTGGTTTGGAGTCACTGGAGAAACATGAGTTTATTGATTGGTATTCTTGTTGACAAGTAGGGCATGTAAATAACCCAGTACATACTATTGCTGTATATTTAATTTCCAAAAAAAGTAAAGACTAACTCTTGTTAGCCAGTAGTTTAGTTTTTTCAGCAATTTCACTTTTGAAAACGTATTTGTTGGACATAGTAATTTTTTATTTTTCAGGGTTGTTTGGAAGATAAAGTAATGTATTGAATGTATTTCAAAGTAGATGTGTAATTTATAATATCATTGTTAGTTGTGATATTAGGCAAGTAAGTTCAAGTTTCTCCTTATGTTTACTCATTCAAAAATGAGGGTAAAATCAGTATAGATCCTAATAGGTTATCATGGGAACTAAATGAAGTAGTTGTGTATATGCCAAGAGCTTGGAACACAGTAAACCCTTGGAAAATGCTCACTGTTATGTTAATTATTTCCAATCTTTTTTTTCTTTTTTTCCTGAGACAGGGTCTTGCTGTGTCACCCAGGCTGGAGTGCAGTGGCACAGTCTCAGCTTACTGCATCCTCCACCTCCTGGACTGAAGCGAAACTCCCACCTCAGCCTCCCGAGTAGCTGGGACTACAGGCATGCGCCAACACGTCCAGCTAATTTTTTTGTATTTTTAGTAGAGACCAGGTTTCACCATGTTGGCCAGGCTGGTCTTGAACTCCTGCCCTCAAGTGATCCGCCCTCCTCAGCCTCCCAAAATGCTGGGATTATAGGTGTGAGCCACCGTGTCTGGCTGCCTTTGTCATTTCTTTGTGTTACAAACATTCCAGTTATAGAGTTAATTACTTTAAAATGTACAATAAATTATTGTTGACTGTAGCCACTTTTTTTGCTGTTGAATACTGTATCTGTCTTAGTCCGTTTTCACACTGCTATGAAGACATTCCTTGAGACAGTAATTTACGAAGAAAGGTTTAATTGACTCACAGTTCTGCATGGCTGGGGAGGCCTCAGGAAACTTACAATCATGGTGGAAGGTGATGGTGAAGCAAGGCACGTCTTACATGGTGGCAGAGAGAGAGAGAGAGAGAGACAGAAACTGCCAAACACTTTTAAATCATGAGATCTTGTGAGAACTCACTCCCTAACTATCATGAGAATGGCATAGGAGAAACTGCCCCCATGATCCAATCACCTCCCACCAGATCCTTCCCCTGACGTGTGGGGATTACAATTAGAGATGAGATTTGGGTGGGGACACAGAGCCAAACCATATCAATATCGTATTCATTCTACCTAATTGTGTTTTTGTATCCACTACCCATTCCCACCCCCGCTCCCCCCAACTACCCTTTCCAGCCTCTGGTAACCATCATTTCTACTCTAGATCTCCATGAGTTCAATTGTTTTAATGTTTAGCTCCCACAAATGAAGAAGAGTGTGTAAAGTTTGTCTTTCTTTGCCTGGTTTGTTTCACTTAACTGTAATGTCCTCCAGTTCCATCCATGTTGTTGCAAATGACAGGATCTCATTCTTTTTTATGGCTGAATAATACTCCATCGTGTATGTGTACCACATTTTCTTTAACCGTTTGTCATTGATGGACATTAGGTTGCATGCACTGCTATTTTTAGTGCTCTGTATATTTGAAAAAATGACTCTGGAGTGTACTAACTGACACATAAATAAATGTCAATGTATATTCTCTTTCAGATTTACCAAAAATTTATCTCCTGACAAGATAAATCTAAGTACCCTTAAAGGAGAAGGTGAACTGAAGAATTTGGAGTTAGATGAAGAAGTGCTCCAGAATATGTTGGATTTGCCGACATGGCTTGCTATCAACAAAGTTTTTTGTAATAAAGCATCCATCAGGGTGAGACTTTGATATCCGTGGCTTGATATTTGTAGAAGGACTTTTATGTTTTCTTTCTATATTTTGGCTCTTTCTTTTAAAATACTTAATTTTAGATAATTCTGTAAAAACATTTTTATTAATATAATTTCAAAAGAAAGATACCTTTGCATAAAGTTGTGCCTTATATTTAAAGGCATATATTAACTACTTTATAGGTCTTAATTTTTGTTTAAATGTGATTCCATTAATATTTTTAAATTATTAATTTGTTAATAATTGCATCCATTTGGTACATGTTCAAAGATAGTTTTTTCTTAAGTTTTATTGTCAAATGGGACAATCTAAACTTGTAGTGAGTTGCTGGGCATGGTGGCTCACACTTGTAATCCCAGCACTTTGGAAGGCTGAGGTAGGCAAATTGCTTGAGCCCAGGAGTTTGAGACTAACCTGGGTAACATAATGAGACTGCATCTCTACTGGAAAAAAAAAAAAATAGCCCAACATGGTAGCACATGCGTCCGTAGTCCCAGCTACTTGGGAAGCTGAAGCAGGATGATCAGTTGAGTCTAGAAGGGTGAGGCTGCAGTGAGTCATGATTGTGCTACTGCACTCCAGCTTGGGTGATGGAGTGAGACCCTGTCTCAAAAAAATTTTAAAAAAGTAGTGAGTAAATACTTTTTCAAATGAAGACATGAGAACTAATAAATTTGCAGTTTTATCCCTTTTCTTCATTAGTTTCTTTTTCATTTTGAGATTTTTTTTTTTTTTTTGGAGACAGAATCTTGCTCTGTCACCAGGCTGAACTGCAGTGGCGTGATCTCAGCTCACTGCAACCTTTGCCTCCCAGGTTCAGGCGATTCCCCTGCCTCAGCCTCCCAAGTAGCTGGGATTACAGGCACCTGCCACCATGTCTGGCTAATTTTTTTGTATTTTAGTAGAGATGGGATTTCACCATGTTGGCCAAGATGATCCTCAATCTCCTGATCTCGTGATCCACCCACCTTGGCCTCCCAGAGTGCTGGGATTACAGGTGTGAGCTACCATGCCTGGCCCATTTTGAGAATTGTAAGGGTTTCTGTTTATTGTTAGTATCATTCCTATTATTATTATTATAACTTGTTATTCTACTTACCTTTTTTTTTTTTTTTTTTGAGACGGAGTCTTGCTCTTGTCGCCCAGGCTGGAGTACAGTGGCACTGTCTTGGCCCACTGCAACCTCTACCTCCTAGGTTCATGCGATTCTCCTGCCTCAGCCTCCCAAGTAGCTGGAATTATAGGCACATGCCACCACACCTGGCTAATTTTCATATTTTTAGTAGAGATGGGGTTTCATCCTGTTGGCCACGCTGGTCTCAAACTCCTGACCTCAGGTGATCCACCACTCGCCTCTGCCTCCCAGCATGCTGGGATTACAGCATGAGCCACCATGCCTGACTGACTTCTACTTATCTTTAATCGTATGTCAATTTGTGTCACTTATTGGTTATTGGTCTTAAAGATGAGGCTTTATTTGAGAGTTGTCTGCTTAGTTGAAATACTGCTTGCTGATTGTTCCATAAAACTAAAATTTGGGCTCCTAAGAAAAGATTATAGAAAAGTTCCTATATCCTTTGATGGTCACTTTTAATTTTTGTTCTACCCTTTGGAAACCTAAATATCTACAAAGACTTGACACTTTTATTTTAGTAATTTTTTTCTATTTCGATAGCTTTAGAGATACAAGTGGTTTTTGTTTACATGAGTGAATTGTATAGTGGCGAAGTCTGGGATTTTAGTGCACCTGTCAGCTGAGTAGTGTACTTTGTACTCAGGAAGTAGTTTCATCCCTCACCCCTCTCCTACCTTACCCGCCTTCTGAGTCTCCAAAGTCCATTATGCTACTCTGTATGCCTTTGCATACCCATAGCTCACCTCCCACTTAAAAGAACATGTGGTATTTGGTTTTTCAATTCCTGTTACTTCACTTAATATAATGGCCTCCGGTTCTTTTCAAGTTACTACAAAATACGTTATTTTGCTCTTTTTTTTTTTTATGGCTGAGTAGTATTCCATGGTATTTACCACATTTTCTGTATCCACTCGTAGGTTGATGGGCACTTAGATTGATTCCATATCTTTGCAATTGTGCATTGCGTTGCATTAGACGTGTGTGTCTAGGTATCTTTCTTTTTTTTTTTTTTAATAGGATCATGTTTGGAATGAGGACCAGAGTCTTTTTGATATAGTGACTTCTCTTCCTTTGTTTGGATAGATACCCACTCAGTAGTGGGATTGCTGGATCAAATGGTAGATCTACTTTTAGTTCTTTGAGAAATTTCTATATTGTTTTCTATTGAGGTTGTACTAACTTATATTCCTACCAGCAATGTATAAGCATTCCTTTCTCATCACTTCCGTAACAACAGCTATTGTTTTTCAACTTTTTAGTAATGGCCATTCTGACTGGGAAAAGGTGGTGTCTCAATGTGGTTTTAGTTTGCATTTCCCTTGTGATTACTGATTTTCAGTATTTTTTCATGTGGTTGGCCATTTGTATATCTTCTTTTGCAAAATGTCTGTTCATGTCCTTGCCCACTTTTTAATAGGCTTATTTGTTTTCTTCTTGCTGATTGTTTGAGTTCCTTGTAGATTTTGAATGTTAGTCCTTTGTCAGATGCATAATTTGTGAATATTTTCTTTGTCAGATGCATAGTTTGTGAATATTGACAATCTGTAGGTTGTCAGTTTACTCTGATGATTATTTTTTTGTTGTGTAGAAGTGTTTTAGTTTAATTAGGTGTCATTTATTTTTGTTGCATTTGCTTTTGGGGTCTCGGTCATAAATTCTTTGCCTAGGCCAATGTTCCGAAGAGTTTTTCCTAGGTTTTCTTCTAGAATTTTTATAGTTTCAGATCTTAGATTTAAAGCTTTCATTTATCTTGAGTTAATTTTTGTGTACAGTAAGAGATAGGGATCCAATTTCATTCTTCTACATGTGGCTATCCAATTTTTCCAGCACCATTTATTGAATATGGTGTCCTTTCTCCAGTTGTGTTTTTGTATGCTTTGTCAAAGATCAGTTGATGGTTAGTATTTGGCTTTATTTCTTGCTTCTCTATTCTGTTCCATTAGCCTATGTATTTAGTTTTCCATTGGCCTGTGTATTCTGTTCAATGGAACAGAATACTTTGCTCTGTTTTGTCCCATTGGTCTATGTGCCTATTATTATACCTGTTCCATGCTGTTTTGGTTAGTATAGACTTGCATAATTTGAAGTTGGGTAATGTGATGCCTCCAGGTTTGTTCTTTTTGCTTAGGATTGCTTTGGCTATTTGGGTTCTTTTTTGGTTCCATATGAAGTTTAGGGTTGTTTTTTCTAATTCTGTGAAAAATGATGTTGGTACTTTGAGAAGATTTGCATTGAATTTGTGGATTGCTTTGGGCAGTATGGTCATTTTCACAGTATAGATTCTTCCAGTCCACAAGCATGGAATGTATTTCCATTTGTTTATGTCATCTATGATTTCTTTCCACAGTGTTTTTAGTTCTCCATGTGGAGATCTTTCAACTCCTTGGTTAAGTATATTCCTACGTCTTTTTTTTTTGTAGTAGTAGTAGTTATTGTAAAAGGGATTAAGTTCCTGATTTGATTATCAGCGTGGTTTTTGTTGGTTTGTAGCAGTGCTAGTGATTTGTGTACGTTGATTTTGTAACCTAAACCTTACTGAATTTATTTATTAGATCTAAGAGTCTTTTGGAGGCAAAACTTGACATTTTTATTACAGGGTATATTTCAACATTATATATTTGATGTTTCCTACATTTTATATTAATGGCCTAACTTTTGTATTTATCTTGAATATTTACAAAATGATTGCTCAGAATTCTAGGATTAAACAGGTTGTTAAATGGACAGAACACTGATTATGTTTTGCTGGGAACTCTTCGTTTAAATTATGATATTAAGATTTGTTTTAAGGATTGTTAAAAAAAAGATATTTAAAATAACCTGAAATTGGCCGGACGTGGTGGTGCACGCCTATAATCCCAGCACCTTAAGAGGCTGAGTTGGGTGGATCATTTGAGGCCAGGAGTTAGAGACCAGCCTAGCCACCATATCAAAAACACTGTCTATACTAAAAATACAAAAATTAGCCGGGTGTAGTGGCACTTGCTTGTAATTTCAACTACTGGGAGGCTGAGGCAGGAGAATTGCCTGAACCCAGGAGGTGGAGGTTGCAGTGAGCTGAGATCACGCCACCTCACTCCAGTCTGGGCAACAGAAAGAGACTCTGTCTCAAAAAAAAAAACAAAAAAAAGAAAAGAAAAAGAAAAAAGAACTTACAATTTCTAATCAAAAGATGACAGAAGATACAGCTAGTAATAATTTCTTATATAAAATGGGTACATCTGATTTCAAAAGTATGAGTGAGTTGCTCAGTTTATTTTGTAATTTAAGAAAAGTGATTTTATATAATTTGTTGTGTCTGTCCTATATGAATATAACACCTGTATTGATTACTGTTTACATTATTTTCTTCTTAGTGATACATCTTAAAAATTTTTCATTTGTAGATCCCATGGACAAAACTGAAAACACATCCCATCTGTTTGGTGAGTTCTGAAGCCTCTTTAGAAATAAACATTTTTATATATACATTATCTAGCTACTCTGTTCATAGTAAACTTTTGTTTCATGGACATATAGTCTGGATTTTTCACCAGTTAGCTTTCATTTTATTTTGATAGGACTCAGATTTTTCATCCTTTAAATGAGAAGTTTTAACGTTAAAGTAGGAGCATCTTTAAAGTGTTTCAGGTCTAGAATACTATGTTCTAAATTGGCATAGTATTTTATTGCATCATTCAACTCTTTGTTGATGTACCGTGGGATTATTCTTTCAATAACATTTGATCCAGACTGTCTTTGTTTCTCCTTTTACTGATCTAGTAAATTATGAAATATGTTCTTTAATATACTTTGCTTTTTAAGGAAAGTTGAAGAAAATCAATCATTTGTTCATTCATTCATTTAAAAAATATAATGATCAAGAACATGAATAAAACAAGACAGTTTCAAATAATAATAAATGCTATATGTGAAATAGAGAATGAAGAATGACTGGAGTTGTGTTAGTGATGACTATTAAGGACATTAGATCTTTCTCCAAGGAAAAAAGTATCACCCTGAGAAAGAACTTTTTCCATTATGGGGGTGTTTATTTTTTTCACATTTCCTGCTTATTTTATATTTCCTATAGTTTTGTGTCTCATAGCTCAGATCTTAGATTGTAATAAGCTTTTGGGGGTAGTTCAATCCTATTTATTAAAATATAATTTTATCAATGAATATATCTGGGAGTAGAAATTCTGTTTTCATGAAATCTGATGATTTCAGTAGTTAATGGCTATGCCTTGATTCCTCCCCGCTCCATACATCTGTAATACACATAGTTTTTCCACTAGATAATAAATGCCTTGAGAACGGAGTGAGTGCTTTGTGTTTTTTTGGCATTTGTCTTTTTAGACCTGTAAAGAGACACTTAAATGACTCTGCTCACTTACTGTTTACTTTCTTCCTAAGGAAAAATGAAAGAGAAAATAATCTTACATAATACTTTAATAATATACATAAAATAAAGAATCTAATTGTTTACATTTTAACGTTTTTATTAGTCCCTGGATAAAGTAATAATGGAAATGAGTACATGTGAAGAACCAAGAAGCCCTAATGGCCCATCGCCAATTGCAACTGCTTCAGGACAAAGGTAAGCTACTTCTGTTCATCTGCATGACTGCCAAAGGGAGTTATTTTCTATAGTCAACTCCGTTATTGGCAGTAACAGTACATTTAAAAAAAAAAAAAAAAAAAGCCTTAACCTCAAATTGCCTCTATTTCAGTCAGCTCTCCCATCAAACATTTTGCAGTTTTAGTTATATACATTGCAAAGTTGCAGATTTGACTTTTAACTTCCTTTATTCATCTTGTTTTCCTTGCTATTATTAAATAATAGTGATTAATGGCAGAGCAGCAGCAGAAAATGGAAGCAGAAGAATTTAGGCATTCTATAAATAAGAGAGCCTCTGATCAGTTTCTCTGCATATCATTTTGTGTGCATCAGTGGAACTTTTATGACTCTTCAGAGTTAAGTTGGGAGGCCAGGAGTGGTGACTCATGCCTATAATCCTATCACTTTGGGAGGCCGAGGTGGGTGGATTGCCTGAGCTCAGGAGGTTGAGACCAGCCTGGGCAAAACGATGAAACCCTGTCTCTACTAAAATACAAAAAACTTTATGGGCATGGCACTGTGCACCTATAATCTCAGTTACTTGGGAGGCTGAGACAGGAGAATTGCTTGAACCTGAGAGGCAGAGGTAGTAGTGAGCCAAGATTGTGCCATTGCACTCTAGCCTTGGCGTGCAATGGCAAGACTGTCTCAAAGGAAGGGAAAAAAAAAAAAGAATTTAGTTGGGCTTGGTGCAGTGGTCCACGCCTGTAATCCCAGCACTTTGGGAGGCTGAGGTGGGCGGATCACCTGAGGTCAGGAGTTTGCAACAAGCTTGACCAACATGGTGAAACCCCGTCTCTGCGAAAAATACAAAAATTAGCTGGGCGCGGTGGTATCCGCCTGTATTCCCAGCTACTGGGGAGGCCAAGGCAGGAGAATTACTTGAACCTGGGAGGTCAGGGCTGCAGTGAGCTGAGCTTATGCCACTGCACTCCAGCCTGTGTGATGGAGAGAGTCTCTGTCTCAAAAAAAAAAAAGAGTTAAGTTGATGCCTTAAATTATAGACCTTTTGGGTGACTCTAAAATTCATTAAGTTTAAAATGTTTTTGCTTTCCACAGGTTATATTTTGATAGATGAAAATCGGATACTAATAAAGCAGAAGTATGGGGACCATTTCATAAAGCCTTTTTGAAATGTTAGAAGCTATTAAAAATTTTTAAATAATATATTGTCTGCTTTTTTGCACTCAAGTTAAATTTCGATCTAGTACTATACATGATTTTCCTGCAACAGGATTTCTGCATTATTTTTGCATTCACATCAGTTGTTCACATAGATTTTTAATGTGATTGATGCCTCTTTGTGTTGCGTCAAATGGCAGCTCTGAACATGTGTAGTATTCTAGGTGTTATGTAAAACCGTTGATAAAACTTTTCTTGAGGGTGAATGCATTCATGTGTGTACACAGACACACATTCACTCACTGCTCTTTTACAAAGGTTGAGCCACCTTTATGTTAGTGCATGCCATGAGAATACCTACAGTGCATGCCATGGGAATCTAATGGTGATTCATTCCACCATTAGATTTATCAGATGTGCAGGTTTATCAGATGTGCAGTTTATATTTGGACTACAGATACTAGTGACTGGGAAAAGAGCTTTCATGTTAACTTCTTTGTAATGTAGCATCATCCAGCAACTTCAGATTTTACAGGTTCAATTATGATTCCAGGTTTCAGAGAATAGTTGTTGGCCTTTAGGTTGGCTAGAGTCAGAAAGAACTAAAATGAATCATTTTGTCCTTGTGTGCTTAGTATAGTCGATAGTGTCCTCTCTAATTCTTGTTTTTATAGTATCATAAGCTTTATAATTTTGACTTTGTAATCATGTGATGATTTAAACTATTTAAATCATCCTCATACTTTGATACATGGCAGTGTGGTTAATCTGTTTCAGCATTTTTCAGACTTGCCTGATTGTAACAGTCATTTAGAGTGCTTATTAAATCTACAAAGTCTCTGAAGCTCCTTTTCTTGAATTTCTGATTTAATAGGTCTGGAATGGATATCAAGAGAATGAATACATTCATTGAGTGGTGTTCAGAGTAAAAAAAAAATGGAATATGAATATGTATTTTTGGGTCTCACTCCGTTGCCCAGGCTGGAATGCAGTGGCACGATCTTGGCTCACTGCAGCCTTGACCTCCCAAGCTCAATCGATCCTCCCACCTCAGCCTCCCAAGTAGTTGGGACTACAGGTGCGAGCCACCATACCTGGCTTGTTTTTTGTATTTTTTGTAGAGATGGGGGTCTCCCTGTGTTGCCCAGGCTGATTTTAAATCCTGGGCTCAAGCAGTCCTCCTCCCTTTGCCTCTCAAAGTACTTGGATTATAGATGTGAGCTACTGTGCCCAGCCAAAAAGTCTTTTACATTTTAAGAAGAGTATTTAAAAAAAAAAAATTGTGCAGCTCTGAGAACCAGAAAAGGTTTAGAGAGTGAGAAGAGTGTTTTTTAAAAAAAATTATTTTTTATTTTATTTTTTTAGACAAGGTCTCACTCTGTTGCCCAGGCTGGAGTGCAGTGGTGCCATCTCAGCTCACTGCAACCTCCACCTCCCATACTGAAGCGATCCTCTCAGCTCAGCCTCCGAAGTAGCTGGGACTACAGGCATGTGCCACCATGCCCAGTTAACTTTTTTGTGTTTTTAGTAGAGACGGGATTTCTCCTTGTTGGTCAGGCTGGTCTCAAACTCCTGGGCTAAAGTGATCCACCTACCTTGGCCTCCCACAGTGCTAGGATTACAGGTGAGAGCCACCATGCCTGGCTGAGAATAGCATTTTTTTATTTTTTATTTTTATAACTTATGTCTAACTAGACTAGATCATTGTGTTTGAGGTTTGTTTTCCTTTTTTTTTTTTTTTTTTTTTTGAGATGGAATCTCTCTCTGTCACCCAGGCTAGACTGCAGTGGCACAATCACAGCTCACTGCAACCTCAACCTCCTAGCCTCAAGTGATCCTCCTACTTCAGCTTCCCAGTAGCTGGGACCACAGACATGCACCATCATGTCCAGCTAATAAATTAATCAATTAATTAATTTTGAAACAACATCTCGCTCTGTTGCCGAGGTTAGAGTGTAGTGGTTCCATCTCAGCTCACTGCAACCTCTGCCTCCTGGGCTCAAGAGATCCTCCCACTGCAGCCTTGTGAGTATCTGGGACCATAGGCGAGTGTTACCATGCTCAGCTAATTTTTAAATTTGCTACAGAGATGAGGTCTCTCTGTGTTGCCCAGGCTGGTCTTGAACTCCTAGATTCAAGTGGCCTCCCAAAGTGCTGGGATTACAGGCATGAGCTACCATGTGTGGCCTTTTAAAATATTTTGTGGAGACAGGGATCTTGCTATATTGCCCAGGCTGGTTTCGAACTCCAGGTTCAAGAGATCCTCCTGCCTTGGCCTCCCAAAATGCTGAAATTACAGGCGTGAGCCACCAGGCCCAGCTTAGATTATTGTTTTAATAAAAAACATTTATTTTTTTCAATATAAAAATGAATGATAAGCTGGGCCTGGTGGCTCACGCCTGTAATCCCATCACTGTGGGAGGCCAAGGTGGGCAGATCACCTGAGGGCCAATATGGTGAAACCCCATCTGTACTAAAAATCCACAAAATTAGCCAGGTATGGTGGTGCGTGCCTGTAATTCCAGCTACTCTGGAGGCTGAGGCACAAGAATTGCTTGAACCTGGGAGGTAGAGGTTGCAGTGAGCTGAGATCATGCCACTGCACTCCAGCCTAGGTGACAGAGTTCAGACTCTGTCTCAGAAAAATAATAATAATAATAATAATATGGTGTTGTGCAAATTATCTATCTATCTATCTATCTATCTATCTATTTATCTATCTATCTATCTATCTATCTATCTATATTTTTAGAAAGAGTCTTTCTCTGTCACCCAGGCTGGAATGCAGTGTTGTGATCTCAGCTCACCACAACCTCCACCTCCTATGTTCAGGTGATTCTCGTGCCTCAGTCTCCCAAGTAGCTGAGATTACAGGCATATGCCACTGTGCCCAGCTAATTTTTTGTGTGTGTGTTTTTTTTTTAGTAGAGATGGGGTTTCACTGTGTTGGCCAGCCTGGTCTTGAACTCCTGGCCTCAAGTAATCTGCCTGCCTTAGCCTCCCAAAGTGCTAGGATTACAGGTGTGAGCCACCATCCCCTACCAGCAATGTGCAAATATTAATAGAACTTTTAAAGATTAGTTTTGTCATTAATGTATTTTATTTTACTTTGTTTTTCCAGTGAATACAGCTTTGCTGAAAAAGTAGTTGAGGGAATTACTGTTTCTGTAAATTCTATAGTCATCAGAATTGGAGCAAAAGCCTTCAATGCTTCATTTGAACTTTCTCAGCTTCGGATCTATAGTGTAAATGCACACTGGGAACATGGAGATTTAAGATTTACTCGTATTCAGGATCCACAGAGAGGAGAGGTAACATTTTTTTTCTTTCTTTTTCAAATGTTTCATGTAGTGACAAGTAAAAGAGAACGATTAAAGAAATCACATCTCATGGTTGCCTTTTAACTTTGCATTTCTCTATATTACTTTTTTGGGGGAGGGTGCGGGGGAGACAGGGTCTCACTCTGTAGCCCAGGCTGGAGTGCAGTGGCGCAGTCACGGCTCACTGCAGCCTTGACCTCCCTGGGCTCAGGTGATCCTCCCACCTCAGCATCTTGAGTAGCTGGGACTAAAGGCATGTACTACTGCACCCGCCCAATTTTTGTATTTTTGGTAGAGACAGGGTTTTGCTATGTTGCCCAGTCTGGTCTTATACTGGGCTCAAGCTGTCCACCTGCCTTGGCCTCCCATAGTGCTGGGATTACAGGCCTGAACCATTGCACCCAGCTCTCTGTATTACATTTAATCATTCAGTTACAAAATGTGCACATTTTAATGCTTTTACTGTAGTAAATCTTTCCATTTAAAGCCCTATTTTAACTTCTCAGCTACTCAGAATTGAATTTTTTAATTCCCCAAACTAAAATATGTTGTTTAGTTCTTTCTTGGTAACATGATTTAATGCATTTGAGCTTTACATTAACTGAATTGCTTAGAATAAAAGCATTAACAGCTTTACATATGATGAATATGAATATGAAGATGTGTAATTGACTTTGATGGAATAATACAATTTACAAAAATAAAAACATGGTGAATATATCTAAAATGTCATTTGAAAATTAATTGAGAATATACATTTGCTTTGTTTTTAAACTACATTTTTCTCATTCTGTTTTGTATGAGTAAGCGAAGTTAAATCTCTGTGTTCTCCTTAGGTTTTGACTTTTAAAGAAATAAATTGGCAGATGATAAGAATAGAGGCAGATGCCACCCAAAGTTCACATCTTGAAATTATGTGTGCTCCTGTTCGATTAATAACCAACCAATCAAAAATCAGAGTCACACTTAAAAGAAGGGTGAGTCAACAAGATTACATTTTGGATTCATGTGTTAACTCTTGGATTTGACTTTTCGATTTGTGTGTTAACTATTAGTTAACTGTAGGAAATTTTAAATAATGTCTTAGGTGAAATATTGGCATACTACCAGTGGCATATTAAAATAATGCAAAATAAAAGGAGGTATGGTTACTCAGATAATATTTATAGAAAACTGGTATAATGTTCTTCAGTCTTAGGTTTAATAGATTTTTCAAAGGTTTTTTGTTGTTGTTTTTATTTTTATCTTATTTTGTTTTTTTTGAGATGAGCTCTCACTGTATTGCCTGGTCTTGATTGCAGTGTCATGATCAAGGTTCACTGAAGCCTTGACTTCCCAGGCTTAAGTGATTGTCCCACTTCAGCTTCCCAAGTAGCTGGGATTACAGGCACGCACCACCATACCTGAATAATTTTTTAAGTTATTTGTAGAGATGAGATCTCATTGTATTGCCCAGACTGGTCTTGAGCTCCTGGACTTAGGTGATTCTCCTGCCTCTGCCTTATTTTTATTTTTATTTTTGGAGATGGGGTCTTGCTGTGTTGCCCAGGCTGGAGTGCAGTGGCACAGTCCTAGCTCACTGCAGCCTCGAACTCCTGGGCTCAAGGGATCCTCCTGCTTTAGCCTCCCAAGTAGCTGAGACTACAGGCATGCACCACCATGCCTAGCTAATCTGTAATTTTTTTTGTAGAGACAGGGTCTCACTATGTTGTCCAGGCTGGTCATGAATTCCTGGCTTCAAGCACTCCTTCTGTCTTGACCTCCCAAAGTGCTGGTATTATGGGTGTGAGCCATGATGCCTGGCCTAAACATTTTTATTTTTGGTAAATTGAATATATTTCTCAGTTGTCAAATATTTGTTGAACATTTACTGTCTTATAATTTCATTTCTTCTATTGAGTCTTTGAATATAAGTAATTATATAATTTATTAGCTATAAATGCAAAATTAAGTTATATAAGTGCTATATAATTTGTACAAGGATTTGTCTGTCTTTTGTTACCACTGCTTCTCTAGTAGTAGGAGATATTCCTTTCATATTATAGGAACTCAGTAAATACTACCTTTTTTTTTTTCTTTGGAGACAGAGTTTCCCTCTGTCACCCAGGCTGGAGTGCAATGGCACTGTCTCCACTCACTGTAACCTCTGCCTCCTGGGCTCAAGCAATTCTGCCTCCACCTCCCAAGTAGCTGGGATTACACAGGTGTCCACCACCACACCTGGCTGATTTTTGTATTTCTAGTAGCGACAGGGTTTCCACCATGTTGGCCAGGCTGGTCTCGACCTCCTGACCTCAGGTGATCCACCTGCCTTGGCCTCCCAAAGTGCTGAGATTACAGGCATGAGCCACCATGCCTGGCCAGTAAATACTTGTATGAAGGAAGAATCCATATTTAATTCTATTCAAAAAGGTTTTGAAAACGTTTTTTGAATACAAATGTATTACAAGGTTTATATCTTGGCTTAATTTTATAAAACATGTTTTTTTTTCCCCTACAGTTAAAGGACTGCAATGTCATAGCAACGAAGTTAGTTCTAATATTGGATGACTTATTATGGGTTTTAACTGATTCCCAGTTGAAAGCTATGGTACAATATGCAAAGTCTCTTAGTGAAGCAATAGAAAAATCAACAGAACAAAGGAAGAGTATGGCTCCTGAACCTACACAGGTATGCTGTAAAATTAACAGGAAAAATACTTACTTTACATGAAAGTAGTTTAAAAATTAGAAGGATTTGTTGGTATTTTCTTTAAGAAACAGATTGTGAGGCTTTGAGTACAAGAATCTTCTTTATCTAGATATCTTCTATGTAATTTTATATAAGTAGTAGCTATATGAAAACAAATGTATTTGTATCTGTTAGTGATTATTTTGTTTAGAGCTCTGTATTAGGCACTAAAGTTAATGATGACATAAAAGTATTTGATGTTTTAATACCTCTGTTTAGGAAGTTAAAAGAATACAGTTTTAGAACTACTAAAGTAAAAGCAAATGAGGAAAATCCTGGGTAATTATAGGCAAGAGAGGACATGTGAGAGTTAATTGTGCAGAGAATCAAAGCTGTAAGGAATTGCTGAAATTGAACACAAAACTTCTGTTGGAGTTGTCTGATGGCTGGGGCAAGAACAGGGACAAGCATAATGAGCTATTTATCACCTTCTTAAAAGTGATTATTAGTTTGTATGGAGCATTATTAGTTGGTATGGAGAGGAAAAGTTTTTCTAGTCTTTCCCAGTAGTAAGTTCTGAGTACCAGTACATCAAGGTCTTTATAGAAGAGACAATGATGATTATAATGGATAATATTTTTAATAATTTTAGGCAAAGTATAAATGAATTTTTATATCTACCTCTAGTAAAAACTTAACTAGATATTATAAAATTATACACCTATGAAGCTATTTCCTTGGAAACAGTATTATATATCTCAGATATATAGCTTGTTGGTGATCCAGCTTTGTACATGGGAATGGCATACATTTAGGCTTTCTTTGTTTTTTGAGACAGAATCTCTCTTTAGCTCAGCCTGGAGTTCAGTGGCACAATCTCAGCTCACTGCAACCTCCACCTCTCAGGTTCAAGTGATTTTTGTGCCTCAGCCCCCCACATAGCTGGGACTACGGGTCAAGTGCCACCTCCTCCAGCTAATTTGTTCTGTAATTTTGTTAGAGACGGGCTTTCATTGTGTTGACTATGCTGGTCCCGAACTGCTGGTCTCAAGTGATCTGCCCATCTCGACCTCCCAAAGTGCTGGGATTACAGGTGTGAGCCACCACACCCGGCCTAGGCTTTCAATGAATATCACATTGGCATTATCTATTACCTGCCTACTATGTCCTGAGGTGCAGGGGTAGACACTATGATGTAAACATGAATATCATCTGACCCTGGCCTGAAGGACCTAGAGTATAAGGGTGAGTTAAATATGAAACAGATCTTTGTAGGTGGGAGACGGGCTCATGTCTGTAATCCCAGCACTTTGGGAGGCTGAGGCAGGAGGTTTACTTGAGACCAGTAATTCAAGACCAGTCTGGGCAATATATTGAGTCCCATCTCTACAAAAAATTTAAAAATCTCCCAAGTGTGGTGGTGGTGGCATATACCTGCAGTCCTTAGCTACTTGGGAGATTGAGGCAGGAGGATTATTTGAACCCAAGAGGTCAAGCCATTGCAACACTGCACTTCAGCCTGCGTAACAGAGTGAGATCTGTTTCCAAAAAAAAAAAAAAAAAACCAAACAAATCCCCAAATCATTGTAGTTCAACATAAATGTGAGCATGAAGAAGTAAGGGAAAGGGTTCTGTGTAGGGACTACGGAAACACAGAGAGGTTTTAATTAATTGCTTGCAGGGTGTGGAAAGGTTTCACAAAGAGGTTAATGAAATTATGTCTTAGAAATGAGTAGCAGTTCACAGGCAGACATGGGGAAAAGGTATTTCAGAAGACACAATAGAATCTGCAGAAATATCGTACTTTTAAAGAACATGATATTTTCTGATAAAGATAAGAAATCTGGTGTTACTAGAGTAGTGTTTTTAGGAGTGAGGTTCAAATGCCTCAGGATATATTACAGTTTTCCAAGTTTTATATTTTAAAGAAATTGAGTTCCACACATTCCACCTTAATGTGTATTCTTTCTTAAACTTGATCTGCCGGAGAATATGGTTGCATTAAGATGTCAGACTGGTTTTCCCTTTGCATAATGACTCTAATCCTACTTTATAAATGAAAGACATTATTATTCATCCTCAGTCTTACTAGGATTTGAACAGAAAGGGTTTGTAAAAACCCCTCTGGGAAACAAGATAGAGTGGCAATTTGAAATACTGCTATTCATGTTGGAAATTAATGGCTGTAATGACAAAGGAACAAACCAGGTGATTTTTAGTTGTTTTCAACACATGTGTAGGAAGATCAAATAATCGTCAGCCATAAGAGATTATTAAAATAATTTTTTATAGATCACTTTGTGAATCCTGGCAGGTAACTCAAAGGCATTGAAAGAATCAAGTCACATGGCTAAAACAAAACTGCTTTCCTTCCAATCTATCTATGTGAACGAGGTTTTCTAGAGCCTGTAGTCATAAAAACAAATAAACAGATATAGAAGTGAAGGTGAACTCTGTATTATTCTACCAATAAATTATCCATGAGGCATCTGCAGAATTCTCTGGGGGATCTGATTTTAAACATTTGGCAAACCACTGGGCTCTAACATAGAATAGTTTTCTTGGACTGGTAGCCTGAGTTGAAACAAAAGTTTGCAGTGAATGAAACATGTTGTATAATGTATTGAAGAATTTGGACATTTTCCTGTGGGCATTTGGGAGCCAGTGGAAGTTTTTAAGTAAGTTGAGGATAAGGAAGAGAGAAAAGTTGAGAACTTTAGAATGATAGTTGGTAGTACCATTAGCCAATAAGGAAAGGCAGAAGAAGGAAGTAGGTTTGATTAAGGGAGGTGAGGGTAAGAAAAGTCATTTTGAAGCTGAAAAAGTATAAGGAAAGAAGTATAGGAGAGTATTTTACAATATTACCATCATAGACATAAATACTATTCTGTTAAGGCTTGCAATGAAGATTTTGGTAGCTTAGGTTGTGATTAACAGAGATGGTGGTCGTAGTTAAAGACTGATAGATTGAATGTTGATATTACTATCTAGTTCTTATATGTGGATATGTTTATATAAAATGGAATATGGATTGGAAAACTAGATACATGGACAAAATTCTGTAATTTCACTCTGCTAATAAAACCTGTGCTACCATTTTGAGGTATTTTCTTACAGCTTTTTTCCCCAGCATACGTACTTTTTCCTAGTTGTAGTTAGTGGGCATATGCGAGTTTCTTCCATGTCTTTAGTCTTTGAAGCTATTATGTTTTGTTGCTCCATAGTATTTTATAGTGGATATACTTAACCGTTACCATAGAATTGCTTTCTTGGGTAGTAGTTATCATGTCACTACTTCAGATATCACACAGAATGTCCTAATCTGATTATTTCAGGTCCCAAGACAGCGTGTCAGAAAGTGAGTTAGTTAAACAGTGTTTCTTTGCTCATCTTTACAACTAGGCAGTTGTTTTCTATTATAAGTATTTGCTTAGCTTCATTTTATTCTTCTCTAAAAGAGAGAGAAGACTATTTTGAAAATTAAGAGTTGTTAACATTATTCATAGGGGCTAGGTGCAGTGTAATCCCAGCCCTTTGGGAGACTGAGGCGGGCGGATCTTTTGAGGTCAGAAATTCAGGACCAGCCTGGCCAACATGGTAAAACCCCGCCTGTACTAAAAATACAAAAATTAGCCAGGCATGTTGGTGGGATCCCAGCTACTCAGGAGGCTGAGGCAGGATAATCGCTTGAACCTGGGAGGCGGAGGTTGTTGCAGTGAGCTGAGATTGCGCGACTGCACTCTGTCCTGGGGAGTCTTGACTCCATCTGAAAAAAAAAAAAAAAACAAGATTTGGCCGGGCGCTGTGGCTCACGCCTGTAATCCCTGCACTTTGGGAGGCCGAGGCGGGTGGATCACCTGAGGTCAGATCAAGACCATCCTGGCTATCACGGTGAAACCCTGTCTCTAACTAAAAACACAAAAAAATTAGCTGGGCGTGGTGATGGGTGCCTATACTCCCAGCTACTTGGCAGGCTGAGGCAGGAGAAAGGC